GTGTCATATGTGAGTAGAGTTGTTTGCTGTTTGTCTACTGTGCTTCAAGGGGTTTTGTGTCATATGTGAGTAGAGTTGTTTGCTGATTCTCTCCTGTGCTTCAAGGGGTTTGGTGTCATGTAAGTAGAGTTGTTTGCTGATTGCCTCCTGCGCTTCAAGGGTTTTTTTGGGGGGATTCTCTGCTTTTCATCTATGCAAAGATCTACTTCTAAATTTTGATTCTGTGTTTTCTGACAGTGCCATGGAAACACTTTGATTGATTGACATCTACCAAATGAATACCCTTTTTTACAAAGTTCCCAGCATGCTATTGAGAATAATAATTGTCAAGATAGAATATTAGATAAAATAGATTTATTGCCTTACTATTTTGCTGGTAGGTTGGTTTTCTATTGAAAATATTCACTAAATATCAAGTATATCATTTGAAGTGTTTATAAGACCATCTGAACGTTGAATCATCCTAATACTTTTGTCCCATAATGTCTTGGCTTTGTCTTGATCCATTGCTTCAGCTGATGGTGTACATTGACGGCAGTTGTTCAAGTATAATCCTCCTACTCCTTCTAATTCAGGGTCAGCTGCACAATAAACTACAGTAGCAGCACCTTGACTCTGCAAACCAATAGAAAGTTGATGAACAAGCTGTTAGATCAAAACCAATACTGAATGACTCCTTTTTATTCAATGTTCTTTTGAAAATTATAATTAAGAACAGCTTTTTTTTCTGTGCACTTATTAGTGTGTACTTTTTAATCTTAATCTTGAGGATACCCAATAAATATATAATAAATTAACAGTATAACATTGTTTCCAGATAATTTATATCTGCTATGCAAAGTTCCATCATAATTTTAAACAAATATCTTTTAATACCAGATTTCACTAGATCTGATTACTGCATTAATCAGTAAGATATTATTCCAAATTAGAGCTAGCATAAAGTACTTACAGGATTTTTGTTGAAAGGCTTGGCTATCAAGAAAAATACCCAATACCACCAAGAGGTTTGACAAAGTGAAGAATAAATCAAGTTTCCTGGATGAACTGCATTACTTGTGACACCAAAATGGTGAAAACGTCTGTTGAGTTCCATAGAAAGAAGTAGAATGCACAGTTTGGATTGATTGTATGCAAGTATAGACCAATACTTGTCTTTTGGCAGAGGAACATTAGATAAACACAACTTGCTAGAATAGTCAAAATCTTGGAACCTGAAAAATGTAAAGAAATAAAGTCAAACTATAATCATATGGTACATTTGCTAGACAGGACATGTGCTAGACAGGACATGTGCTAGACAGGACATGTGCTAGACAGGACATGTGCTAGACAGGACATGTGCTAGACAGGACATTTGCTAGACGGGACATTCGCTAGACGGGACATTCGCTAGACAGGACATTCGCTAGAAAGGACATGTGCTAGACAGGACATTCGCTAGACAGGACATTCGCTAGACAGGACATGCAGGCACTGCAACATTAAATTGGAAATAGAAATGCCTACCCCCTCCCCCCGCCCGCACATAAAGATATTTATGTCATTAACAAACCTGTGTGACTCAGAGGAAACCATCACTATTCTTGCTGGGGAAGATGAAACCATAAGATCTTGAAGAAGTTGAATGAGAAGAAAGTGGCCAAGATAATTGATGGCAAATGTTCGTTCAATGTGATCCTCTGTCAGTTGCCATGAACCACCCAAAACTGCAGCATTACAAATCAAGACATGAAGTGGACTGCAATCAATACACATAATTTATAATAATTAATACCACACAAAACCTGTCAACTAAACCCTGAAATAACCTCAAACTGATCAAATCAGGACACTAAGCTGCACAGATCAAGTTGAATAGCTTACAGTAGTTTGTTCAAGGAAAACCTAAGAACCGGAAGTAAAACCCTCGAATCAAGGGAGAGAGAGACCTTACAAGCTCTAAACTCACGTGATACTGGTAAGGGTCAGGGAATTGAACCCAAGGCCCCAGAGGTTGGGAGTGTACTTATATGCCACCCTTTGTTACATGTTTTATATGCACACACATATATACATATAATATATGTAATTTAACAGTCAAGGTTGTAAACCAAAAAAAGACATTTAGACATTTACAAATGCTGAAATACCATTCTCCATCTTAAATCCTCACTGCTACATCGAACGAAGCATCATGAGAACGCAGAACCTCGACTTTGAAGCAATTAATCCCTATCCCATAATTCAAAGTCAAACATGACAGACTACATGTCAAGATATCCACTTCCAGAAACAATAAACAACACCTTAGAAAGACACGTCAAAGCAGTCACCCAAGCAGACCACGCGGTGGTTTGGAACAAGATCCAGACAGCCAAAAACCAAGACAGAGAAATGAAGGGACTCATAGAAGTTATTCAAACAGGGAAATGGCTCAATGTCAAACCATGTTTGAAACCTTACCATGACATACGAGAAGAACTGTATGTAACAGACGGAGTAATCCTACATATGGACAGAATTGTTCTGATTTCTGTGGAAGCATACCAGCACATAAAAGATCACTACATCAACATCACCAACCTCGACTACAGGCAAAGCTTCAGTCACGACAAAACCTCAACCTGTAACAACCAACATCCCACTAAGGAAGTCACAACGTCTAAAAGAAGTCAACCTTTGAGAGCAGATACAGAAACTACAAGAAGTAGATAAACCTGTCGCGTTTTAGGACCCAACTTTTGCTGTATTGTTGCCCGTATTGCGATACACCGATACACAACATGCCATAGGGCTACATATCTAAGCAATCCAAAATCCAATGTAGTCCCCCGGTCTCTCAAAGGATCGGCTAATTAATATACACCACACGGCCACACATACAGCGATACAGGCGATAAACAACTACACAGCACTACGGTGATACAACGATACAGACGATACAACGATACAGACGATACA